CGAAATTGGGCACCTCACCCTTCACCCAGGTCGCATGAACCATTGAATCGGAGCCGAGGGTGGACGGCCAGTGGTCCAAGCTCAGTATTGGTGCCGACCCAGCGTATCCGTCGCCGGTCCATGGACCCTATTCATCATTGAGCTATTCATCATTGCGCTGGCCCCGTCAGGTTCGAGCACAAAGACCATGCGGAAGGACGGAAGATGTCGTGGCCCAAGTCGGAAGGCGGCTTGATGTGTTCAATGTTCGCAGTGCTCCAACACAGGCGCAGAGCAGAGTGCTGATCTCGTCGAATAACCTGAAGGCTGCATCCTGGCGCTAGCATAGACCCGCTATTATGGAGCTTGCGGTGCCTTCGCCCATCGCCGTCTTCCTATCAGAAGCGAGCATGGATAGAAAGTGTAGGTTGGCTCGTGCGCGATGCCATTCCACGGCGCGAGGGGGACTCAAGAATGGGTGCCGTACCCGATGGTGCCGGTTGGAAGCACACAGCCTTGAAGTGAGAAAACAAGGAATTGGATGCTGTGCCACCGGACGGACTGCCTCGAACAGAACACACGGGACAGGTATTTCAAGGGCCTTGGACATTTTGTCGCCCGGCCTTGTGTTGGAAGAAAGCATTTCCTCTGCCAAAAAGCTCTGGACGCAGTGAAACTAGGCTAGACTGGGATGAACCTTGTCACGGATAGAAGGATGCACAGCATTCGACAGGCAATTGGCCTACTCCAACAAACCTGCTGTGAGCGGCCTCAGGGGTCCTCAGGGGTCGTCGATGCGATTTGCCCTGAGGCGACCGACGCGAAGCAATTGGCCGGGCCAACCAGGTTGTGCACTGTCCTTGTTGTGACTAGTATGGCCTTGACAAGGTGGGTGGTCGTCATGGAGTCATCTATTGCGCTGTCATTTCCATTCAAGACTTTCAGGCAAAAAAGTTCAAGTTCAAGTTGGAATTCTACCCAGAGGACGTCCATTGCACCACGACCAGACTATGGCGGCTGTCATGAAAGCCGGGAAAAGGCACTACAGCTGGTGATGGCTGTTGACGAGTCGTTGTGTGCACTTCCCCTATTGGCGGCTGTGTTAGACTCTCATTGTCTTTTACATCCTGGGCGCTCAGCAAGATCAGACGCGGTTGCAACGCGGGTCCCCAAGTTAACCCAGACGGAGACAAAGAAAGACGTACGGAGTACACACCAACGCTCTCGCAATAGTTCTTATCCTCATCCGAGACCCATGAGTACTTGACAGCCCGCTCAGGGTGCGTGGCGAGCAGACCAATCAAGTCGGTTGTTTTCCGGCCCCGGCTCTGGCAACGTCTCTCGGAGGACTTTTTGCCATGACGATAGTAGACGCCTTGGAGGCCTGCTACCCGTCGTCTGTGCCCCTGATTGACGTCTCTGGGGAAGACGGCGGCGAACGTTTCCTCCACGGTTTTCCATGGCAGGCGAAGGTCGCCACGAAAGTATGCAATGAAATCGATCTGCTCTGTTGTGTAGGGTACGTTGCAGTGGGGATGGCTGCTTGGGCGGCGGGGTCGACGGGGTCGGCGTGGCGCCGCTTCGCGAGACTGAAGGTCTCCAAAAAGCCGGTCCGGGCCGCGGCGTCGGACAGCCGTCAGCTCTTTTGAACCAGGCCAGTAATGCCCGGCCGCCGTTGCAATGGGAGAAGGGTTCTGGTAACTGTAGGCCGCCAGGGGCACGGGCCCTTGGGCGGCGGAAAAGGCAGTGGGGGGTACACGAAAGCCTTCAGGAGATCCGATGGCGTGAGTCCAGTAGGTCGCGGAAGCTGACAATCCGCTTGAAGTGAAGATATCCAACTCACGCAAGCGTGGGAGGCTGGTCTGATGACGGCCACGAGAGAGTACTGGTGGGCATGAAGGCAGTTCCGAACCGGTATCTTGACGCGTGGGCTTTTGCGCGGTTTCTTGCGGTGAAGTGAAGGCCGTTCTACCTCCTAGCCTGCGGACGACATCCTCTGTCACGCATGGCCGAGTAAGTGTTCTCGTTCGCTCGACTAGAGGAGGAGGATCGCTAATCATTTCCGAGCTGTGATAGCAGCTCGCTTACGGCGTTGGCTTCCGCGGATTGTTAGCAACGTTCTTATCCCCGGCGTTGCGATAGCCGCTACCACGGAGTAAAGTATGATTACCTGGGTAAGAGCGTATGGAGGCGACCACAAAAGTGCATCTGAGTAGAGCGCCTGGCATGTGTTGCGTCTCACACAATGGCTGTTCGTGCGTAATCCTCACGGTAGAACGATAGGGGATGCAGCTCTTCTGCTTCATCTACGCATGTTACCGGCAGGATGAGACGAATTAATACAATGCTATGAACACGCAAGCCTAGACGCAATACCCTCTACCGGCCTACTCGTTCCCGCTGGTCCTCCGTCGCCCACCCGAACGTACTCGAGGCCGACGATGAACCTGGTCGTTAAGCTCGCTCAACATGGCCTACTGCAGCCCAATCGAGAAGACTCCGTGAGGCGGGCTGGTGACTGAGTCGAGAACGGCATGGGCGACGTACCCGTGGTGGGCACCTGTCGATCGGGGTTCGCTGGGGACCAGAGGTGGCAGGGGTGCGCATACAGAAGTGCCCTGGGCACATGCCTGGCCAGCCATGCTGGCCTTGCCTCCGATGCTTGGTCCAGTCTTGAGCTGCCAGATGATCGACCGTACATTTTTCCAATTCTGCAACGGCCGAGGCATCATTTCGGGATGAGCGGCTTTTTGAAAACATCGCCGTTGACCCAGACCAACAGATGTGTGGTCTGATGTCGTTGGTTCAGCGAGCCATAGAAAGTGGATCTCAGTATGCTGTGAACCCTTGTTGCTGAGGTCAAGGTCCGGGGCCAGGCAAGCACCCTGACAGAGCGCCAACATCTATTGAGCTTCATTGTTGTTTTCACACTTGGTTCTCGACGGCCGTATCACCGCTCCAGGCAATTTCTCGAGTCGTGGGCCATGATGCTGAGTATCGCGCAAACGATCTCCCCTGCCGAGCCAAGCTCACTTCGCCCGCACTCCACTGCCAACTTTCTAGACATCCTGGCCCGCATGACTTATCCTTGCGTTTAAGGACCATATCCGGTATTGCTGCGATGGCGGTTCAGTGTGCCGTACTTTGCTTCCAACATGGCAGTGGAGTACCTGCATGAACACTCAGGGTGTGTCGCAAACGGATAAGTTACCAGACAAATGGTACAGTCCTCTCGATTTGGCCGAGTGAAAGACACCTGCACGGCGATTACGATCTTCAAGTCCGCCGTTCCGCTCTGCGACAGGGTTGACCGCGAGACCTCCAGGCTAAGCGACACGGCCAACAGCCTTGTATCTCTACCGATTGCGATGATTGCCACCCGACTGCCAATGCAAACAAGAGCAACCCCGCCGTCTCGTCGCCCGACTTGCGCCAACGGCAGACATGGGATGAACAAGTCCAAGTCGGTTGCGCCTCACAATTATAAAGGCCATTGCGCCCGACATCGTCTACCATTACTTCGTCCTTGACGACTTACCTACATTCTTCGCCTCCGCCTTCGAGAGTTCTTCAGCCCCTTCAGGTCCCTGCTTCAGAAGAACATGTCCCAACCACCGGCCCATCCACCGCGCAAGCCGGCAGGCCACTTATCACATGTAGAACCCTTTACCCATCAACAACCCGCTGCCACAGGCTCTTGGAGGTCAGCTGAGGTCTCTCCAGAGTCTCCCAAACATGGCTCGCAACATCTCCGCAGTAGCCCGGCGACCACGGGCGCTCAGTCCGCCATCCCACATCTACAGCAGTCGCCTCCCTCGCCTGACACAATCGACATTGATAGCCTACTGGCCCAGTTGCAAGACTCGGCAACAGAGCCGTCTTCGAGGCAAGTTATGGGTGCCCATCTCAGCTCTGGTGCATGACTGACAGAAGACAGCCCTCTCGAGAACCTCACGCTATCTGGCGCACAGCCAAGTTCGCTCTCGTAAGCACAGCCCCAAGCGGTAGAACAACGCGCTCATTGGAAATAGGGCTAGCATCGCACAAGGAACAGAGGGGCTGAAAGAAGCTCGTCGCAGACTCGAAAAGGCCAACCAATCCCACCAATCCCAGATTGACTACCTGAACAAGCAGTGAGTGATTGTTCCCTGATAGGCAACCAGTCCATTGTTTGACGGTGTTAGACTCGGGCATATCGCGGATGATATGGGGAGAATCAAGAATATCATAGAACCATCGAGACCGCCACTCCCATCCGGCGAGAGCAGCTCTCGGGACGAAGGTCAATGAGGGGCGGCAGTCTAGATCCCAGACTCCTGAATGAATGGCAGCAGTATGTCGCTCGACACGATCTTGACTGAGCAAGGCCTGCGCAAGCGCGCCAAAGCATATCCTACATTTGTTCACGTTGTATGTTGACTGAGTAGTCAGAAGGGTCAGACTTCTGTGTGCTTGCAATGGGCTTATTGATCATCGTTTCGATTCTTTGATGGGTGCACATCTTGAGTCGACGTAAAACATACGTAAAGAAGAGTGATGTCGCTTAGCTGATGGTTCATCTTGGTATGAAAGGGTTGCGTTTGTGATCAAATTGTAGCCAGAGTGGTGTTGATTTCTGCCGGAGAGAATGTCGAACTACTTGGCCTTGTTGCTGAGTCCTACGACCTCGTCAGATAGGTTCGAAGAAAGTCCATTTTCGATGATGGCTAGGAAGCTCTGTATCACGGACCGACCGCGCCGGACCCATACCATAAGCCTGAACGAGCATACCTTACAAGGCCACCATGTGACTGCTCGTGAATTGCTTGTAAAGCCTCGATTCGGAAATGTACCGTCTACCATTGCAACGTTGGACAACACTATAGATAGGATGTCAACATGAGAATCCGGCACCTCCACAAGGCGCTCTACGCTACGTCAGCCAGTTCCGGCTCCTTGATCTCTGCGACTGCGTCGGACCGCGGCATTTTCCCTTACGACGATGTGACCCCCTATCCTACGACGGCCGTCCGTTAGTCGGGCTATATCATCAGCGAACCCTTCGGGCCTGACGAGCCTCGCAATGCCCTCAACGCCTTGTTACGACCGCCCTGAGATTTCCAGTACCCTTCAAGAAGTTTTTTATCAGCGTTCCGTATAGTCGCTTCAGGCTCACACGAAGATGTGGGAGATCCAACCCAGATGACTTCCAGGTAGATCCTGCTACCGAGCCCTCTTGTGTGAGATAGGATCTCGAACACGTGCCATAACTCTGGATCTACCATGGCTCCTTCTCTTCCGCCCTCCAAAGAGTCCCAGTAGGCAAACAAACTTATTTTGTGATGTTTCTGGACCTCGATCTCCGGCTCCCAGCTTTCTGCTCCTCCCACCCAGCGGACTCTCATTTCGAAACAGGTGTCACAGATTTGGTCGTAGCGGTGCTCGAGGATTGTGGCTATAGAAACGCCCTGCAAGTCGGTCGTGACGGCAGTTGCTGCGACTTCAGATTCGAGCGTACATGTTGTTTTGATCGAAGACTTGGTGTCCGCACAACTGATCTCGGCATTTGTGACTTTGGACAGGTTAGTGCTGAATACTGCGCAGCAAACGGGGTGTCCTACTTGGCATTACGTTGTCCCAAAAGCTCATGGCTTCGAGTTCGTCGAGAGAGCCCTTCGCCCCCTTTATCCGAGTGTGCATATCGGCCACCGGAGCCATCAAAGCATGGGTCAGCATATCAGGCAGTTGGCTGAATGAGAACCGCTTCCTAGTTGACGAGAAGGCCGGCAATACGCATCGTTTTGGCAGTAGTTTCCTCGTGTAAGGGTATGTATGGGGGACAAAACGTTCGGGACGATGAATAAAGTCGAACGATCTGGGCGGCTAGCTGGATTATTTATAACTTCTCGCCATTGGCTCCTAGGGTCTTATAACGACGGTGACGTTGTGCGTCGATGAGAGTGGGCCGCTTTTAGGCGAAGCGGGAGCTTCGTCCACGGTCCGACCAAAGAAGTGTAGGCGCGTTTTGCTATGGAAGCCATGGACTCGTATGCAATGATCGCTCTCGAAACCTATCAGCCCGCTGATGACTTTGACTTCTTACTGCTGGGGGTCAAGCAGAGGGGCGTTTGAACGCCAGTTCCGGGCGCGATTTCGGAGCGCGGCCTTCGGATTAGTCCGTTGGACAGGCTGCCAGGTCTGGCAGCCGGGCCTCCGCCGTGACGGCCGGGCTAGGGTTCCCCGTACACGTACTATAACGGCCACGCGGGCCACGTCCGAGAGATCCCAGAGAACCATGATAAACATCGCGCATGACAAGAGGTCTGGCTGTGTTCACGACAAATGCGATTCGTTATATCTGTTGGGGCTACGTTGTCTGGCAATGACAGCTGGACGAGAATTGAAGCAAACATCCACAGATGATGGAGGAAATCATGGACAAGGCGCAGGTCTGTTTTGCGAGCGCGTTCATTTCGAGACATCCCTCACCTATCCGCCTATCCTTATAGACACATTCCCTCTGCCCCTGACGGTCACTCGCACACCGACTTCTGCCATCTGGTTCAACAGGTCCATCTATATGTCCTCAGATACCCACTATTATGGTGGACATACGGTTGGCTATCAACAAAGAACTGTCTCCTCTCTTCCCTCATGGCTAAGCTGTCAATCTAGATATGGCTCTCAACATGATGGAGAAATCATCAAGCTCTAGAAGTCTCCCCCGCATACCCCGTGGCGGTAGCATGACCTCGATGGTCACTTTCAGTGCGGCGTCGCCACCTGACATCGGATTTGGAATCGAAGGTTCGCCTTTGGAACTGATGAACAGGCTATTGACACGAAGAAGCCTACTTTGCGGCTCGAGGTTCGCCTCATTTTGTGTGCGGTTGCGCAACATGTGTCGGCTATGGTCTTGCTGATTGAAGCTCCAGAAAGAAGATCGTACTGTGTCGCGAGGATAGACTCAGAACTCCTGGAAGCGCTCGTCACGTGCTTAGTCACGCGCATCACGGTTCTATGGAGGCCTCTGCTTTCTTGGTTCTTTCCTCCTGGGTCCGGAGTAATACAAGCCAATGCATGAGACTTCATATGCACATTGCTGCGTGCCATATCTTGGGACACTTTGCACGACGCGTTGATCGATGGCCGATAACCGAGATGAATAACGGGTTGATATGATTGCCGTGCAGTCGAAGTGCTTCCTTTTGGTTGAAGATCACAAACGCTGAGACAACTGAGCGGCACATGCTCTCCCTGTAAGGTTAGCGTACGACGAGATTCTTCCCCATTGGCCTGCCTTGACAAAGTTGATGGTCGTGAAGCGCGGGGCTTGTTGGTAAGCAACCCGCGCTTGACTTCTTGAGAATACTTAAACAAGCTTCTGCGCTGATGGACTGGAGTCTCCTCGGATTCCGCGCAATCGATCAAATGGCACGAACAGTCTCGGGACGCGCATCCAAAGAGCCCCCATTGTCTGCCATCATTACGCTGGTTGCTTCACCGGAAAGGGGCATTGCGTCATAATTGAAAAAGGGAAAAAAAAAAAGAAGAAAAAAAAAGAAAAAGGACGAGTCAAGACGTTGACAAGATGATACAGACCAATGACTCCCGCTACGCAAATTGAACATAGTACTGTTACCGTTGCAAGCTCACCCAGGCGCGTCGAGATTGCGAGATCAAAAACGAGGACAAGATGGAAGGAATCGACTTGCAGCCCGCGAGTCATGCATGCCCTGGAGTAACGGCGGTGACTTCCTGAGGAGGCCTAGCGCCCCCCGTAACAGAGTGATCAACCCGAATGAGCAGCAATTCGTCTGGCGGCTAACCTTGCAGAGCGAACCAGCCGCAGGCTTCCCGGAACTCGCAGGTAGTAATGGGACGGTCCTGGACGCATACCGTAATTTCATTTGGCAACAGAAGAAGTAAGGAATTGCAGTCCCTGCTAGTCTGACTTGGGTCTCTGAACTCGGATGCAAGGGAAATGAAATCACCGCGATTTAAAAATTGCGAAGTTCCCTCTTCCGCTCGTCTTGCGAGGTCTCCGTCAAGCTATGATGAAGACGAGAGCTCTTGAACTTGGAGGTAGTGTTCACTCCAACAGCACTGCATCAACACGGTCTGTACTAGATGCTGATGACCCCTTTCTGTTGCCATGAGCACCTGCAACAATTTTCATCTCCCGAAAAGAGGGGATGTTTGGTCTAAAGGCGACACAGTCAGTATTGAGTGGTCGACTGCCTCGACGAGCTACGACACTGCCATAATAGGACTCGTTCTGAACGACGCCAACAATGGATTCTCCCAAGTCATAGTCGGTTGGTGCTCCCCATATCCGATAGGCTGCTGTATGCTGCGGATTGCTGACACTTCTCCTGACTTCAGACGAGCTTGAACTGGTTTACAACACAACCGCTTGGATGCCGACCCTAGTTCCCTGCACACCCATTCTGGGAGAGGAGCTGACCAAATACACACCTGGGTCGGAGATGTACTACAACTGGACTCTCCCTGAAGATCTCGACGTTACGGACTCCAGTTATGTCATCTCCTACTTCAACCGCTCAATCGACGCGGCCAACCAGAACTTATTTAGTAGTTCTGTTTTCTCCATCCGAGGATATCAATCCAGTCTCACAACGACAAGCGCTCAGTCCGCAGCCACGTCTACGCCAATGACCACGACGTCTGCTACACCAGTCACTACTTCTTCCAAGAGCCCGTCTTTCTCGACTGGCGCCAAGATAGGAGTTAGTATCGGCGTTTGCTTAACCCTCTTGCTCTTATCCATGGGAGCTTATATTTTCCTGCGACGCAGACGCCGTGGGTGCGGCACATCAGGCACCTGCGTTCAGGAGAAGACGGGGTTCGAAAAACCAGAGCTGGATTCTGTAGATACTCAACATCGCGTCGAACTACATGCAGAAGCCCGCGGCCATTGTTCACCCGAAATCGCACATGAAACCGAATGGCGTTTGGAAAAAGAGCCTGCAGAGCTTCCTGCTTGATGCGTTGTCGGAACATCGCTGGAACTTATTGCGATGGAGGTTTGATATTCCTTGACAGGCGACCATGGTTTAGCGGTGATGACAATTGTTAAGCATAACATGACGCTAGATCCCGTAAACACACACCGTTTGTACCCAGGCACGAGTCGGTATCGTCTCGCGACGTCTTCCATTTCTTCCTACACACTCGTCACCGTTCTGTCGGTGACAGGATGTCTAGGCTTCGGGGGCAATCTTCTCCTTGCGACGCTGGACCAGATGCGGGGCGATGACCCGCGGCATGCCGTCGTCTTGGTCGAAGTCGATGCTAACGACCAGGCGAATGATGTTTCTCAAACAATCTGATACTAATGAGCGATCAGGCCTCACAGCGACGGGATGTCCTTGGTAAGTCTACTTTCAGCGTCACGAAGGAAGCACAGTAGGAAATACGGCTGTCAAGTCAACACTGCGTTGCCTGTCGCGCTTGCCGATGACGTCTAGGGCATTTCGGGACGCGAATGGAGAGGTTTGCCGCCACGATCCCCGGTGCCAGAATGTCGTATTTCGCAGTTCATCGCGGATCGCGGTTTCGTTCATCGAAGCGCCACGTTGCAGTCTTGTTTATGGAGACTGGATCGCTGCGAGTAGCCTTCATTGCATGCCAGCCACGCGCTATTGCTGTATGGTCCACGTCTGCCGCTGAAAGGTGATCTTGCTCGGTCCTCATACTAGAAGCACCATCTGCTAGAAGGGGAAAGCACGTGTAGCTCGTCCTGCATATATTTTACCTAAAATGCGCACGCTGCCTAGGCGACGTGCTCTCCAACGATCCGGTCACCTTACAGGGGCTTGTATCCAAGCTGGTGCCATCAATTCTGTCGTAGCGACCATCGAACACTGGAAATGGCTGGAGAGGAACCGACGAGGCTAGGTCATGATGGGAGTCATTGTTGAAAGCCGGAGCCCGGCGAGTGACGTGCAGTACTTCTCGTTGGTGCCTCCAGAGCCGTCAAATCACATGGATTCACAATGGCGTATGGCGATTTCCAGGTGACACTCCCAGAGCAACGTACCCAGAAAGTTAGCGTCAGTTCCGTGCACGCTGGCGCCCAGATATCGTTGTCATTTGTGAACCTATTTGCGAACAAGGATTGCAACCAATCGTGGCGCCCCTCTCAACGAAAAACAGAAGCTTCTCTGCGAAGTCACAATTGGCTTGTGGCGTGGCCCACTTCAGCGATCACGACGACGCAGCCCAGGCATCTGCGTCGCCGCAGCCCAAGCAGTTGGACCAGCAAGCGCCGCCGACCGATGTTTCTTTCGGTGTGTGCATCGGACCACAAATGGCTGTTTTGAGGGTCTGTACATCAGAAGATCTAATTTCTGATTCGGATGCAGAAGCATCTAAAGATCCACATACGCATGCCTAAGACTAGAGTCCTGTGGGATGTAAGCATGTATCTGCTCACTCATCCGCGCCTCAAGCATTTTCACTTCGAACCCTGTCAGTGGAGGGACCAACCACTGGAGCAACATGTGATTCATTAGCGAAGTTGCATCGTCTCCATCCATCGGGATACGTACGCATATATCTGTTGTATGTATTAAGAAAAGCCTCAAGCTCCTTAGAGAACAGTGTCGATGCATGCTTCACCACCTCACCTTTAGACTCATTTCGACGCTCATCGTATTACGTTCAACGTTAGATGCAACATCCACACCGGGCTTCAGCTAGCAGCTCAAACCAAAAATGAGATCAACGACAGTCGGCCACGGCAGCGGGAAGACATCAAGTACGGATGAATGGCAAGTGAAGAGAATTCAAGGACACAGCGATTTTGATGGCGCAAGCTACTACCACGTGGCTTGGGAACCGACTTGGGAATCCGAAGACCGACTCCAGCACATGTTACCAGTTCTAGTTGACTGGAACAGACTCCATGGCTATTCTGATTCCAGAAGATTACCATCACGTCGATACGAACGCACTTTGGAGCACTGGTCGGGGGACGTCGCTGGGCGAAAGACGATCGACGGCCTGACGTACTACAAGATCGAGTGGCATGTGACCACGGAGCCGGAGGCCAATTTAGAGAACGCCAAGAGCCTTGTGAGGAAGTATTGGGATAACTTGCGGAGTCCAGAGCTTGTGAACAGAGGGGAGCATGAAGGTGACGGCGAGGAGCTATGATTGCGGGAACGGATTGCTGTCGCGAGATCACGTAAATCGACATAAGAATATCTACTTGGCCATTCCGAGAATATCTGATGTGACCATTCTGAGAACGTTGAATATCTTAGATGAGATTGATCTCCAAGGAGGACCGTGGACCACTCAGCGAGAATGGTGGCGTTTGTTAATGGGCCTCACTGCGCGATATGAATGACGGAACAAGAACTTCATTCGCTTCTTCTCGCAGATCGCTGTATTCAAAGTGCAACAAAGGTTGCAGTAATAATCTATCGCACGCAGGCTTCTTATCCCTTTGCCTTTCATCAACTTTCCCGGACCCGCTTCAAAACAGCATCGTACTCTTCCAGGTGCCTCTTCTTCGGGTTGAGGCTCTCGCTCTGCATTACCTCCTCTGCTTCAACCCGCGGTTCAGCTGCGTCCTCTACCGCGGTCATTGCCAGCGCCATCAATGGAGCTAAAGTGTCACCCTCTAGGCCCGCACCACCGTCGCCGTGTGCTTGGCCGTATGTCTCCTGCAAAGCATTCTCGAAGGTGCCGCCTGTGAAGCTTGACTGCAGATCTACAACAGAACCCGACATCTTGCGTCTAGTCTCCTGGAGCGACATTGAAAACGCCGCTGGCGACACGGTATTGCATGAGAGTTCCATAGGAGACATTTCGAACTCCAGACTAGCAATGCGCTCGTCTTGCGCGTTGATGGTGTGACGCTGCGTTTCGATCCGTGCTTCGAGTTGTTGGCAGGTTTTGTGAAGGTGCTGAAGCTGCGCATCTCTGGAAGCGGCATAATCGCGCCAACGCGAGATACATGCTGTCATTTCGTGGATGATGATCGTGACGAGCCTTGCGGTAAGGTTGTCGGGTCTGCTGTGCACTGGTGGCTGGGGTACTTCCATGTTGATCTTGGTTGTTTCCGGTACTGTTCCTTGATTCATCACCTTGACTGTCTCGACGACGTTATTACGAGGAAAGCAATGGTATCGGAGCAACTAAATAGTTTGGCAACCATCGAATCGACTGTTTTGGTATGATCGTTAGTGGGCACAAAGCTGGCGATGAAGGTTGTCCGCTATACGCAGCCACATTAAGCTCTTGCTTTAAAGAGGCGGACCCGGCTTCTACTCGACTCTCTCCCAAAGCTAACTACAATACAGTATCGTAAGTGAATGCAAACTGACGTATCAAGGCCTAAGAGAAGGAAAGTAGGGGGAAGCCAGAAGTGCATTTCAGCAGAATGAGTTTCAGGGATATCTCCACATTGTCTAGAGCCCATCGAAGGAGAATGTCGCTCAGAGCGCATCCACATTATGGCATGAACTTTTATGACGCACATCCATGCGGTACCTCATTGGTTAGGGCTACCATTGAACGAAGGTACTGTATGGCTCGCATTCGTTTGAGCAAGGTTACGGATATACTATACACCAGCAAGCGGGCCTGTTTTTGTTCGAGTACGGCTCAGCTTGGTGGTCGCCGACAAATCATGTGTATGGTGCTCCTCCAAGCACGAGAGTTATCACGACTTGATCGGGTCCCGTCGTAAGGACCACTTTTGCTATTGAGAGAAGTATTTTGTGGTAAGTCCACTAGCTCAAGCATAATGTCGCAGGTTGATGTTGGTTCAGGTGTTCAGCGTGCGTCCTTGCGGTTCTCAGTACCCGGGTCATACATTTTTCAAGGATCCCACGACGATCCATCGCTCCCTCGATTCGAAGCACAGAGTGTAATCAATGAGCCATCGGATAGGTCCTGGAAACGTCACGCTGGTCTCTCTGATGATTGGTCTACCGATCAATGACAGCCTTCGGGTGTCACTTTAGCCCGGCTGATCTGTGTGGCTATCACGAAAGTCTGCCAAGACTTGAACTGTATAAAAACACAGCCGTCGCTCAAATTGCTGGCCTCTGATCTGGTTGTGATTTTGGAATCTCCCTAGACCATCCTAGCGTCTATCAACCCGTCACAAACGTACTTTTACTGATGTTTGTCTACCGCCACGCCTACGAAACTTGCATCCACAATGACGGGTCTCCGCTCGAAAAGTCTAGTCACTGCCATCTTGGTCGACAAAATCAAGGTTTCATTTGAAGAGATCGCTGTTCGGCTGACGTTTATATGTACATTGAAGTCATGGCCACCCTTATCCAAAAAGATTTCTAACGTTTAGCACAGTTGCCTTTTCCAAGAAAGTCATAGGTGGCTTGAGATTTAGAAAGGCCGGCACTGGCAAACTTGATGAAGGCCAGGTCCGCTTTCAGAACAAACCTCCCTGGTGGGAACTGCAAGAACCGCCGCCTGCGGGACTTGTCCCTAGAGGCGCGACCAGCAGCTTTGTCTAAGACAGCGGAATGTCTACATCGTTTCCCAGCTATGCAACGGTCTATTCTTCGTTTGCCGTTCAAGACTCTTGGGAATCACGTCAAAGACGCTACTGCTAATAGCAATGAACGAGGGGACGAGGAATCTCGCGTGGTGGAGGATGTGGGCGCGTGCCGGTCAATGGGAAAACATTGGTATCCCTTATACATTAATGAAGGTTCAATCACCGTTCGTTTCCGCACGCATACTGCCAAATGAGCGGGTTGAGATAGATGGGCTTTATTTTGTACCAAAGTGCACGAATAACACGTAGTCGATATAGGCCAGAATGCGAAGTCATTGGATACAGCTCGCCTCCAGATCACAGCGTGTCTGAGACGCGGCGTCTCTGCAATCACCGCAGGAAGTCACGGATTGTCACAGTGTTGATGCTAGGGGTTGACACATTATAGGCATTAAGAATAGATGAATGAAAGCTCCCGTCAGCCGGGCTACAATAATCAAAGCTATCTTGCTCTCACGACACGGTGAAGTCCGTCCAGTCGCGCAGAGACCGGTCACACAATTGTCTCCATGGCTTAACCCCACCCAGGTAGACCAGTGGCTCGACTCTCTTGTGCGGGACATTCGCGCCGGTCCACCACGCGGTGCTATCGCGAAAAAGGGTTGACTCAAAGGCCTTTGTTACGAGATCTTTCCAAGATACACAAGACTTTTTCGAGGGCTCGATGGAATGCAGATGATCCTGGCTCATCCGCCTTAGGAGCCTTACCACCCAGTCAACCTGAAGCTCAATAAAAGGCGGCGCGTTGGTCTGCGTCGTCGGCCCTTGCGGCCCGTACAGCACAAATGCATTGGGCATGCCGGCGATCATCATGCCAAGGTGCGTGTTGATGCCGCTTTTCCAAGCATCCTTCAGCCGGACGCCATTCTTGCCATGGATGTTCATGTCCAGCAGGCTACCTGTCACGCCGTCGTAGCCGGTGGCCATGATGACGACGTCCAAGTCGTGGTGTGTAGCAACATCAGAGCTGCCGGCGAGAATTCCATGCCTGTCAAAGGACTGGATCGGCGTCTCCTTGAGGTTCACCACTTTGACATTCGGTTGGTCCAGCGCCTCGTAGCAGTTCGTCTCAAGGTTGACGCGTGTTGATCCGAACCATTCAAACTGCTGCAAAGGCGCGACGATGTCCATTTTGTTGGGGTCCGTCATCCGGCTGCGCGTTTTTCGAACCCAGAAATCGTACAAGCATGCGTTGGCCTTCTCGTCAAGGACAATATCGCGATAACTTGACTGCGTGAGGCCGAGGCCACCTCTGTTCCACAATCGCTCGAACAGGTCGTTTCGTTCGGTCTCGGTCGCGCGGAGTAGCAAGTCAGAATTCTGATTGTACGGGAGGGCCGAAGACGACCCGAACTTGGCCTTTGCGAATATGGCATCGTAATAGTGTTTCATCTCCTCTGACTCTCGGTACGACAGCTGTCTCTGATGCATCGGGACCGCGATACAAGGGTTGCGGACAAAAACCGTCAGCTCGCAGTCGAGTGGTGCAAGCTCCTGCACGATTTGCAGACCAGACGCGCCTTGACCGACGATACCAATCTTCTTGCCCGCCAGCGAGAGATTGTCGGGCCAAGCGGACGGATGTATGATAAGGCCATCGAACAGGTCTTGGTTTGGGAAAAGTGGCATGTACGGCTTGTTCATCGAGCCGCATGCGAATATCGCATACTTGGACGTCGCACGTAGCCCCTTGGTCGTCCTGAAGTGCCAGCGTCCGGCCTCGGTGTCGTACTTCGCCTCGTCTACCTGAGAGTCGAAAATGGTGTCCTGACGCAGACCCAGCGTTGCATCGACGTGGCGAAAGTACCTACGGATTTCCTCGCAACCAGGAAACCGCTCGGTGAAGTGGAAATCAGCCCAGACTCTGGGCAAGCTGAACTGGTAGGCGGGCGTGTCGGAATCAACCCTGGCACCGGGATACCGATTGAAATGCCAGACGCCGCCAAAGTCGTCTCCGCGTTCAAGAATCTTGGCAGAGAACCCTGCCTCCCGGACTTTGAATAAAGCATAACAACCACTGAAACCTGCGCCAACGATGATGACGTCTACTTCGAGCTTGTTTGCCTTCTATTCTTCCATTGCAACAAAAGAGAATGTTGTGTGGCCGATGATCTAATGGTTGTAGATTGTCGAGCGGTAATGAGGCCGTATGAGTGCAAAGATGTAGTCCAATACGGTGGCAGGATCACGGCATCGACCGCGTCATTTAAGCTTGTTGGTCTCGTACCTTCGCGTGATAGTCGACTCAGGAGTAGCCATCGTGTAGTATGGTACGACAAAAAGTCATTTCGGGTTCTTCGTGCTGAGCATTCATGACAATGCCATCACTGGGGCGATTCGTCAAGGAATGCCTCACCAGGGCTTGTAGGTGGTTGCGATGGCAGTTTCTGCGGCCGAGGTGCAATTCCCGTCCTATGAGTTGACTTGGTGTGTTCGTGCGTCCGAAGGGCTTATGTCATTTCTTGAGCAACCTTGCTTATGACGGAGTACATGGTCGGAAGGGTCTAAAACACGCCACGTTCAATACCTGCTCTCAAGCCACTTTGGCAGGTCAATTTGTAGCCACGGGCCAGAAAGAGGAGGATCTGTTTCCTGGAGTAGTGGGGCAATTGCGCTCAGACCAACACAGCATGAGGCGGACCAGTCTGGAGCCAATTTGAGCTGGGAAGCGCTAATGGATATCGTTGGGAGCGGCTCTGTAACGTTCTAGAACCTGACATGCCAAGTGGAGCTTCGGACCGTGTCTGCTTCCAGGCCGTCAATGTGGGTAAGGAAGTCAACGTATGAAGCGGCGCGTCGCCTTAGCCACAAGTCCGCTTGGCCTGTAACAACACATCACGACAAGGTTCCCTCCACTGTCCAGATTGTTCCCCGATCAGTCGCGCGAAATCAGTTCGACGCACGTGCAACCACGAAGCGAGAACGATAGAAGTTGATGTTTGTCCAATACCTAACATGCATCCATTTCAGAAGAATTCTTGCACTGGCCAGCCATGACTAAAACCACTTTATACGCCTCAAGCCGGAATATCACTGATCAAGGTTGGCTAGTACATACTCACAATTTCGTCACGACTATACAAGCCTACGATCCGAGGAGCCTATTACCTGAGGAAGCAAACTTGAAGTACAGAGGTTCACAAAACCGGTGTCCGCTTCGCAAGTTTAGTTTGTCTGTTGAGCACAGACCCTCCATGGATTACGCACATGGCAGAAGGCAAGGGTACCTTCACAGAACTGTTCATCGCAGCCCGGAGTGGCTTATTGACCAAATCGCTGACAGCTGGCTCTCAAAATAGAAAGTCAACAAGACGCGAGCAAAAACAGGCTGACTATATGCATTTATAGCCAACAGCGTCAGCAGCATTCGGCTTCCTCCCACTTGTGCATTACTTTGGAGATATATTGCTTTATCAGAGCCGTCATTCCATTCGTAAGGCAAGCGCTTTGATAAGCTGCTTATGGCACTGGTAATACTTCTACCACATGCCTCGCCTCGTACGGAGCAGCAATCTGCTCCGGTGCATGCTCGATGGCGCTATTACGCGTCGAACGCACCCACGTAGAGCGAGAATCTCATTTCGGGCTCCTCGAAAACCTATCGCCGCAGAGCGAGGCGTGCACACTTGCCATTCAAGTATTGAGCGAGCCCTCCATCTAACAATGGGCCCGTGCCTCAGTGCTCCTTGTTTTTGGTTCCAAACAAGAAAGATGCCCACGTCTAGTTGGAGACCGCGGGAGCATCATGTCCCTTGAGATCTCTAGCAAGATTTTAAGGCGAGATGGCGCACGACATTCGTACTCTAGCTTGACGTTCGAAAATTTGGAAACGTCATGGTATTGTTCGCCTTGTGTATAGGGATCGTTGAACATGGTCTGTTCTTGCGTGGAAGTCGATCGGCAATCGGAGGTCCGGACGGCCTACTGGCTTGTACCATCTTCTCGATGCGATGCTTGCGAAGTCAAGCGATGCTTTATACAGTCGACTTATCGTTTCTCGAATGATGACACCGACCAGAAGCGCCTTGATGATTCATCTACAATAATTAGCAAGGAGCTTTTCCTCCGATGGGCAGTTGTTCGCGGTCCTCACCTTCAGCTCCGGAGAAAGGCTGGCGGCCGGCGGCCAGCGGCAAGGACGCCGTAGCGCTGATCCGACTGGAAGACTTGTTTACAAAGAGAATGCACATGCATCGACGCCGCCAATGAGCGGATAGTTGACGATGCTTCGTGTTCTGTGGTCGCAATGGCGTCAATGTCCAGGCGTTGGGCAGCGAAATCGTGCGTGTCGAAATCAGGGTTTCCAAGGTGAGTACAGCCGAGCTTTAGCCGAAATGACCAAAACCTACGTGTCCCTTGCGGCCTTCCTTCTTGCACACCCATTCCCATCATCAACGGTGGCTCTGTCCACCTATTTCTATCATCAACGATGGCGCCGGTTCTCGCGCAATCGCAGCACGACTTGATCCGTGATATGCTAACAAGCGGCAGCTTCACTAACGCTGAGATCGCGACAGCTGCGAGATGTAGTGCCCGTGCTGTGCGACGTATCCGTCAAAGGCTAGACTGCTTCGGAGCGACGAGAGCCCCTCCGAACGGCGCTGGCCGGCCCAGAGACATCACCCCTTCCATGTTCAGTGCATTAAGCGAGCGACTGATAGAGAAACCGGACATGTACCTACAAGAGATGACAATATTTCTGTTCGACGAGTTCGATACAATGGTGACAACGTCTACCATCAGTAGGACTCTGAGGAGGGCTGGCTGGACGAAGAAAACGGCGCGACGCATCGCTCGAGAACGGAACGCAGACTTGCGTGACTACTACCTGCATAAGCTGTCGGCTTATCGGCCGTACCATCTAGTCTACGTTGACGAGTCGGGTTGTGACAGGCGTTGTGGTTTTCGACGTACGGGTTGGTCTCCTCGGGGGTCGACACCCACGCAGACTGCGAAGTTCCATCGTGGCCAGCGGTACCAAGTGCTTCCGGCGTATACCCAAAGATGGCGTTCTATATTCGCAGCTGTTTCAGGGTCACACCGATGGCGAGGCATTCGAGCACTTCATCGAGGCATTGCTTCCGCACTGCGGACGATTTCCTGAGCCCAAGTCGGTGCTCGTAATGGACAACGCCTCGATTCATCACACTGCGAAGATCCAACAGATGTGCGATGATGCTGGTGTGGTGTTGCTTTACTTGCCGCCATACTCACCCGACTTGAATCCCATCGAGGAGTTCTTTGCAGAGCTTAAAGGCTTTGTTAAGCGTCACTGGGCAGATTGTGAGAACTGTCCTGATTTCGCATGGTTCCTTGAATGGTGTGTGCGATCAGTAGGTGCTAGGAAGGCAAGCGCGGAAGGCCGTTTCCGACATGCCGGTTTGGAGATAGAGGAGCATCAATAGGAAATGGGTCCAGTTGAAGGCCGTGTCCAGCAGAAGATCAGGGTAATTTCGCACGCGTAGTCTATTGCTTTCTACTGCTGTTCTGATTCCTGACCCAGGGCCCACTCGCGAATGTCCCTGATGAAACGTGCTGCGGCGCCCTTCTTGACACCATTATCAATGAAAAATTGAGTGTCTTGGTCCTCGTCCACTTGTTCGAGGTCAAGACAATGTTCGACCATAACCTCGTACGCCTTCCGATACCCTGCCTTGAATGAATTATCCAACACCTGTGCGCACTGCCACTGGTAATAACTCCTCAATGCAGAATCTCTGGGACCAGAGATCTTCAATCGTGTTGGCGTTTGGGGGGATGCCGATGTAGGCGCCGGCCCGGGTCCGTGTCCAGACAGCGAAACCCCTGCAGAAGCGTCCGATCCGGGCATGACATTGGTAATGTTAATGGGTGGATATTTCGCTTGACTCTGTGACCGTCCCTGACGGTCCAAACGCTGCTGGTCCTCCGCATACAACAGTTCACGGATGCTGCTGGGTATATCGCTGTGGCTCTCAAGCATTCCACCATCCTCAACGTAGGCAACCAAACTTGTCAGATGACGAGTCATCAGCTTGTGGTGCTTCCCCCCGTTATCATCAACCCAGCAATGCGGTCCAAGATTACAGGGCGGACCGGGACATCTCATGAGGCTGTACACTCGTTCCCAAGACGGCGCCTGTCCCGTCCTGTTGCGCTCGCCTTCGAGCTCTGCATCGCGCTCGGCAAGCATCCGTTGCGTTGCTGAGCGCTTCGTTCCCGTCGTCCGGCACGGCCGCGGTCCAGTCTCCACGTAATTGAAGGAAACACTGATCTTCAGCTTTTTGCCAGCACGAAACAAGTGGCTCCACGTGCGCAGCTGCGTCTCGACGACCTCCCATTCTATCTCTAGATCATCGAATCGCTTGACTAGGTCTTCTTCGGAGCGGTCTCGCACAGACACTATCACGGTGGTATCATCGGGCTTGAAGAGTTTGTTGGCTGCCAGCTTCTTGGTCACAAGGTTGCTGAGCTTGCTCTGCAACGTCATGTCCCAGAAATCGCCCGGAGCAAGGACAAGATTCGGCTCGCTGTCTTTGGACACTGTTCTATTGTTCGCTGTCAATTTCCACTCAAGAGAGTAATGAATACAGGTTGGCGGCTGCTCATCGTAACTGCGGAATCTGTCCCAGTCAATCAGTCGAAGTAATGGGAGTCGGCCACCAGGAGGTTGCTGCGATGCCGCCCTAGAAGATACTGCAGGCGCTGAGCTGCTTCCATGGATCGACTCGTTGTCGGACCACGTATCCCAATCAAAATCAGATGGAGAGTCACTGAAAGCCATCGTCGCAAGTACAGTACAGTAGTTCGGACGAATGGTGGCGATGGCTCGATGCAGCCGCTGAGGTGTGGGAGAGGGTCAGGTAGGAAAAGATACGCTAGGCAGCTACGGGCGACACGTGGCCCCAAATTAGCATCCGCCCAAAGTAGCTAGTCTAGCCAGCTGCGGTCTGTTCCAAGTTTTCAATGCGGCATCCAGAGTTCCACTGCTTGTCTACAGTGCCCCGCATTTCGTCCACCATCGCGAGGTGTCGTGCACTATTTGAAGCTTAAGCAGTAGCCCATCGCCTATGATTCGGGTCGGCCCGTATCGTCCCGCCACGGAACGTCTGAACGCTTCAGGTCTAAGAACCTTGTCCCTTGCCAGGATCTTGTTCGATGTCCCTTGATGCGTATTCTCTGTCAATGTCGACTGCCAATTCGTGAATGCAGATGATTACGATAGTCCTCTGTTAGTCCTCGTCTTTCACTACTTGGCGGTTTGTCATCGAGAAGGAAGGTATGGCTTGGGCAGCCTCAAGAGACCGTTGGAGTATCCTCAATTCCGACATACAAGGAGTTGCACCACTCGCGCGCTGCTCCTCACCAAGATCGATAGCATGCAAAGGCCTATCCCCGGTGTCAGAGGCGCATCTGACACCACGATTCGACTGGATCTTGTGCCGCCTGGATAACGAAACGAGCGCCATTACTAAATATAAAACGAGGAAGAGGCTTGGCCGCTGATTGTATAATTAGCAACGCAGAGCGCGTGACCAGAGACCGACCGACCGGTGCAGACCAGGTCAAATGGCGCCATTGGAGCCACGTAGCAGCGCTTATCTTACCAGGCGACAGAGCAGGCAGATATGGCCCCACAAAGGATGCCATGATGCTGACGGACCCAGCGGGGTTGCGTTTCCAGTCCCTGGCTTGCTCTTCTGCGGAGTTTGTATGGACTGGAATTTGAACTCATCCCAAACATCAGCGATTGAAGGTAAACTGGAAACCTGACCGCACACGCCATCAAAGATCTATTCTCAAACTCCGATCAATTTTGACGGTAGCCATGGGATTGACCCGCTTGTTAAAGAAAATCAATTGTAGGAAAGATGGATCAGCGGTGGCCAGCTCTACCCCGCAACCAGAAGCACCATGCGCCCCACAAGTTCGCCCGTTTGGACTAGAGGTCTTAGTCGAAGGAACCGATCCTGTCGTGGAGTAAGTGTCCGACTGCCAAAGTATCGCCCTTTCTGATTTTTGGTTAACCTATTTGCTTAGCATCGTTGCGGTCCACGGTCTAAACGGCCATCGAGAGCATACCTGGACTGCCAGTGGCGGCAAGCATTGGCTGCGAGACTTCCTTCCGACCGATTTACCCAATGCTCGGGTCCTTTGCTGGGGATATGATGCCAACACACACTCAAACTCTGGTGTGAGCATCCAATACCTATACGATCACGCTCGGGAACTTGTCGCAGATCTGGCCAGGAAGCGGGGCTTAACCAAGGTGTGTAGCCACTTAGCCGTCGTTTCTAGCGAGAACACTGACAGCAATCAGTCGAGAGAACGGCCGATCATCTTTGTGGTGCATAGTCTTGGTGGCATCGTCGTCAAGAGTGTCAGTGCACAACTTGCTTGCTGTTGCCCACTGTTGCCCACCCTAACTTCGTGTAGGCCCTCATCCACTCCGACACCGCACGTGAAGGCGCATTGGCCGAACATCGATCTATCAAAACCTCCACACATGGAATCTTGTTCATGGGAACCCTCATCAAGGAGGTAATGGAGTCCAACTGGGGCGCGTGCTCGTCAATGTCGCATCCATCTTCGTCTCAGCAAACGACCGCCTGCTCAGGCACCTCGAACGAGACTCGGAATGGCTACAACAACAACTAGGACAGTACGGGCCTATCAGCAGAGACTTTGTGACAAAGTTTGCTTACGAGGTGTTCGAAACGCCTACTCCTTAGGACGAATTATGGTTCGTCTGTTATCAAACGTTCTATGCCATTTACTCATTAGTAACAGGTTGTACCGAGAGCATCGGCTGTTGTTCCCGGCCAAACAGATGGCGAACCAATCGCTATTCATGCTGATCATATCAACATGGTGAAGTTCGCTTTCAAGGAGGACTCAAACTACGTCAAAGTGTTGGAGGTACTTCAAATCATGGTGGCAGATGCTTGTAGCAACATCCAATCGAGGTGGGAGACGGAGGAGAGGGTCACGAGAGGTAGGAGCCATTGAGGTGTTTTTAGTCTGGTTCAGTAGCTAATGAACTGTTGCGATGCAGCACGGATCGGCCACAAAATACTGGAGAAAAAATGTACGTATCTTGTGTCTTAAACTCCCGTCCAGCTGGTCTGACACTTGATACGATTGTAGCTGGCCCATTTTACTCCATTCCGTTTCCAGACAACAAAGGCTTTGTTGGGCGGAGTGAAACGCTCCAAGTCCTCCACTCGATGTTGTTTCACGATCATTGTCAGAGCGTCGCTCTATGCGGCCTGGGTGGCATTGGAAAAACTCAAGTTGCTTTAAAGCTCGCTTACTTGATCAAAGAAGGGAGACCCGAATACTCGATATTCTGGGTGCCAGCATCAAGCAAGGAAACTTTCAACGAGGCGTACCTTGCCGTCGCCAAAAAGCTTGGCGTTCATGCCACGGATAATGAAGACCTCAGACTAGCTCTGATGCATCATCTCCGCTCGTCTGCATCCGGCAAGTGGCTCCTCATTATCGATAACGCAGACGACGAAGACGTCTTGTATGGATCGCAAGACGGCTCTGATGGAGTTCTCGACTATTTGCCTCAGAGTGAAGCTGGTGTGACGTTATTCACAACCCGCTTCTCGCGTATAGCAACGTCTGTCGCTACGGAAAATGTCATCGACTTAGCAAATATGAGCTTTGATGAGGCGCACAGCTTTATGAGACATTCGTTGGTGAAAGGATTGTATGAGGAGGGAAATGTGCTCAATGAGCTTCTTGAAGACCTTACATATCTTCCCCTCGCCATTGCGCAATCTGCAGCGTACATGAACGAGAATAGGACATCGATGCGAGAATATCTTGACTTGCTTCGAAACACAGAGCAGGACATGATTGAACTGCTTAGCAGCAAGTTTCATGACAGAACGCGATACAGGAACAAGGATTCGCAGCACCCGGTGGCCACTACGTGGTTTCTGTCATTTAGCAAGATCCACAAAGACCACCCACAAGCTGCTAGCCTACTCATGTTCCTCTCGTGCATTGAACCAAAGGGTATTCCGCGATCAATCCTGCCAAAGCTGCCTTCAGAGCAACAACTAACTGCAGCTATCGGAACATTATGCGCCTACGCTTTTCTCACTCAACGAGGCAACTGCAGCTATCGGAACATTATGCGCCTACGCTTTCTCACTCAACGAGGCAATGCAAAAGTTCACGACATGCACCGCTTGGTACACTTAGCGGCAAGTGTTTGGATCGACAACCAACCTAAGGAAAAGAACTTTGCAGTAGAAATTGAGAGAATGCAGTGCGGCAGGTCACTGGAGTATTTCAGAAGTGTTCGAGAATCTCGTTTTGCAGAAAGAGTACATGCCACATGCTCTGCATTTGCTGAACGGCAAAGATTTGGACGCAGTTGGAATGGGAATTGAGCTGTCTGATTGCGCCAATTTTGACGATAGATGGGCGGTACAAAGAGGCCATAAAAGTCCTTGAGCAACTTGAGGCTCAACAAATGGCACTTGACGAAGAACACCTGACCGACTTGCGCTAAAAGTTGCGCTAGCAATGGTTTATTTCGCAGATGGGCGAGTCAAGGATTCCATTGCGGCACTTGAGCCCGTTGTTGAGGTTTACGGACGACGCTCGACGGAGGACACCCTGACCAACTTGCATCGCGACGAAGACTCGCAGAGGCATACCATGCAGACGGTAGGGTTAAAGATGCTATCGGACTACTTGAGTATATTGTAGAGGTTGAAGAGGCGACACTTGACAAAGATAATCCGCCTCGACTTCGTCGCAATACTTACTCGCAATGGTATACGAAACAGACGGACGATTCAAGGATGCCATCAAGCTACTTGAGCATGTCGTGGAGATGCAGAGGACAACGCTCAACGAGGGACACCTTAATCGACTTACCGCACAGCACGGACTCGCCGTGGCGTATCAAGCAGATGGGAGAATCAAAGATGCCATTGAGCTACTCGAGCACATCATCGAGCTTCACAAGACAATGCTTGACGAAGGACATCCTAACCGACTTGCATCACAAGGCGCGTTAGCAAGTGCATATCGAGGAGACGGGCGAGTCAAAGATGCGATTGATTTACTAGAAAATGTTGTCGAGGTTCGCAAGACAACACTTGATGAAGGGCACCCTAGGCGACTTGCAACAGAAGGCGAACTTGCAGAGGTTTATCGAGTAGATGGGCGTGTCAATGAGGCCATTGAGCTGCTCGAGCACGTTGTTAAGGTTCGCAAGACAACCCTTGATGAAGGACACCCTGACCGGCTGGCGTCGCAAGGCGCGCTCGCAGATGCATACCTAGCAGATGGACGGGTAAAAGATGCAATTGAGTTGCTCGAGTATGTGGTTGAGATGCACAGGAAAACACTTGACGAAGGACATTATCACCGACTTACGTCACAACATTCGCTCGCTATGGCGTATCAAGCAGACGGGCGAGTGAAAGATGCCACCAAGCTGCTCGAGCACGTCGTCGAGATTGAGGAGACGACGCTTGACAAAGGACACCATAACCGGCTGGCGTCGCAAGGCGCGCTCGCAGATGCATACCTAGCAGATGGACGGGTAAAAGATGCAATTGAGTTGCTCGAGTATGTGGTTGAGATGCACAGGAAAACACTTGACGAAGGGCATTATTACCGACTTACGTCACAACATTCGCTCGCTATGGCGTATCAAGCAGACGGGCGAGTGAAAGATGCCACCAAGCTGCTCGAGCACGTCGTCGAGATTGAGGAGACGACGCTTGACAAAGGACATCCTGCCCGACTTGCGTCACAATGCGCATCGGCAAAGGCGAATGAGGCAGGCAAGGAGTGCAGAAGATCATGAGTAAGAGCATTTGACGAGGTTGACGACATAAACCAAATTGAAACCAAATTGGCTGAGTAGCATTAAGCACAACGTCGCAACCCAGCATCGTCGCGCACGTCTCGTAGCTTTTCGATCTGGTGCATTCCGGCATTGTCCGATACAAGCACGGGTTCCGCTCGGTCACCCCGACGTAGATGTGCGCTCGACGCGGAATTGTGCCTTCGGGGACGCACCGAGGCGAGATGCTGCTCCAAATGAGGCATATGGTGGAAGTATCGCCGGTGCCATAACCTGCTTATCAAAGTGGCTTGCCTCGTGAATGGAATGACGGCTCTGATAAAGCAATATGGTGTTTCTAACGCGGTGCATAAGTGAGAGGAAGCTTATTATTGCTGACACTGTAAGCTGTCAACGCACACCATCAGCTTATTTTGGCTCGCGTCATGTTGGCTTTATGTTATGAAAGCCACCTGTCAGTAATATGGTCCATAAGCCATTCCGTGCTCCCAGGAGCAAATGCAGTGTGGTGGCTGACAAGGTACCCCTGCCTCCGGTCATGTACCTAATCCATGGAAGGTCTGTGCTCAACAGACAAACTATACTTGCGAAGCGGACACCGGTTTTGCGATCCTCTGTAAGTCAAACCCCACTTCCCGCACCCCTGTTTCTGGCACCCACAAAAACGCGAAAATCCACCACAACGCAATGCCCACCCCAACCTCCTTTTATCACAACATTTTCAATTCGAGTCCAAATGGGCTCATTTTTGCACATACCTTCTTCTATATCTAATGCCTCAATATACCGAAGATCAGCTTCGTCAGGCTCTCGAGGACATCTCAAACGGCAAGAGTCAAAGAGAGCCTCATTGGAGTATGGGATACCACGATCAACCCTCCAACTACGTCTCCAAGGTGGTCAGACTAGGAAAGTGGCTTTTGCTGACTGGCAGAGGCTGTCTCCTGACCAGGAGAGTAAGCTGGCACAATGGGTTCGCATTCAGGCTTCGCTGGGCCTCGCACCAACGCACCAACAGGTGAAGGAATTCGCAGAGCGAGTTCTGGCTGCTGCTGGGGATACCAAACCATTAGGAAAAGGCTGGATCTATGCCTTCGTGAGAAGGAACCCTATCATTAAGGTTCAGAGAAGTCGTTCCATCGATTCTAGACGCGTTAATGGGGCATCTACTGAGGTCATTAGGAACTGGTTTAAGTTCCTTGCTATCCCTGAGATCAAGGACATCAAACCAGCCAACAGATATAATATGGATGAGACTGGCATCCTCGAGGGTCAGGAGCTAATGGGTTAGTGCTGGGCATGGCTGAGACGACGTCTGTTCGCAAGAAACAACCTGGGTCGAGGGCATGGGTCTCTATCATTGAGTGTATCTCAGCCTTGGGTAGGGCACTTCGTCCTCTTATCATTTTCAAGGGAAGACGGTCCAACAACAGTGGTTTCCATTACATCTGGTTCCATACGATGGGTGGGAGTTTACAGCAACAGATAATGGCTGGACTACAGACTTAACTGCCATTGAATGGTTAGAGAAGGTGTTTATCCCACAGACTATGAGGCTGAGGGCGAGGCTCGACTGTTGATTGTGGATGGGCATGGGAGTCATACGACGACAGACTTCATGTGGAATTGCTATATTAACAATATCCATTTACTGTTCTTACCACCACACTCCTCTCATGTCCTCCAGCCACTTGACCAGTCTGTCTTCAGCCCTGTTAAGTCAGCCTATCGGAAGGAGCTCGGTTACTTGTCTCAATGGAACGACTCTACCATTATAGGTAAAAGGAACTTCCTGGACTGTTACCAGAAGGCTCGACTTGCTGGTCTATCAGTCTCGAACATCAGAAGTGGTTGGAAGTGGACTGGTCTACACCCTGTAGCGATGGTTAAGCCCCTGATGAACCCTATGGTATTACCTGAGCCTTCTGCTAAGCCCACACCCAAACCAACCAGTCGGGGCAAAAGCGATGCCATAATGGTCAACAAACTACCCTGTTGAGCCATGGGATTCTGCTTCCTCTGCAGTGGTCTGGTCGACACCCAGGAAGCTGGCAGAGCTCAGCGGTCAACTGCATATACAACTCGACAATGATACCAGCACTCAACGGCTGCTGTTCAGGAAGGTGAAAAGGCTTCACAGAGCAGGCCTGGCAACTGGCAGCTGCCCAGCAGCAGCTGGCTCACCTGAGGCTCAAGTTACCAACGCTGCAGTTAGGAAGAGGAAGACTGTTCAGATCGATCCCAACACGAAGTTTGCGAACATCAGGGATATCCATCGGGCTCAAATCGAAGCGGGTGAAAAGGAGGTTATTACGGCTGAATCCAGCGACTCTGAATGCCCTAGTGAGGCTGGCAGTTGTATTGTAGTGGGGGAGTAATACTGATCGAGGTTGGCTAGTACATACTCACGATTTCGTCACGACTATACAAGCCTACGATTCGAGGAGCCTATTATCTGAGGAAGCAAACTTGAGGTACGTGGAGGACTCTTTGCCAGAGACCGAGTTTCGTAGCATTTGAACGCCTTTTTAGGTCCTTGGCGGGGGCTTAACGAGCTGAGACGGACGCACACGAACAGCAAAAGAATCTGAGACTTCCTGCTCCCCCCCCAAGCGAGAAGAGAAATCTGTCGGATATGGGCCGTTCACGGTACGCTTCTGATCCAGCCCCTTTCACATACCTGAAGTCTGACTTCTTGCCAGCAACAACAGGCAGAAGGGCAATTCCGGCGTTTCCGTTCAGCACGAGCCGATCACGCCTGGGGCCACATTCAGCTGGGTGACGCATGGCAGACTCATCACGGAGCTCGTCAATGGTAGAATGGTGTGCTATTTTGCGGCGGAGGATGGTCGTGTGGTGGGTGTCTATCTTGGCGTTTGGAGTTGTCCACCTGTTTTCCAGTGGTCGCCAAAGTGAAGGTCTGCATGTGGTTACTCAGCTTACATCACGAAAAGAGTTCTTTGTTGTGTATCAAGCGGCCCGGAGTCGAATTGCAACATTCTAGGCATCTCGTATTTCGTGTCAATGGCCGACGAAAGCATGGCTGCGAATACGCTGAAGAATGTGCAAAAGTCCGTATAGCCTCTCTTTGGGATTTATTAAAATACACTCATTCTTTCGAGGCGCACATTTCTGAACTACATGTCGCTGTATCCCTTCTAGGTCCCAGACCATCCGTGCTATAGTGGCCTCAGCCCTCAGAGACTGATGATGATTGTGAGAAATCATGACTTTTGACATCATGGCTGAGCTGCTTCGCGATGATTTGTTTGCTTCGTCCGCACTGTGAAGCCCGGCTCGGACCTGGTTTAATCTCCAAGTCTCTGAGACTAATCATCTGGCTTGACAACAATATTGTGTTGACAGGGTAAAACATGCTCTCTGGGCGAAACGGTGAAGGACGGCTTTCTATGACATTGCTGTTCCGAAGTTCGTTCGCGTCTTCGAGCCTTAGTTGAGGTATAGTAGGTCCGGGAGACCTCCGTGGATATGCTGGTGACGTAGGCTTCGAGAATACACTTGTGGGAGAAAGCAAAACGTTCGCATAGGCACAAGCATCGGTAAGTGCTTGTTCGTCCTGCACTAGAAGGGGATCTGGCGGAGATGATGTTGTCATTTTTCGAAGTTGCGAGATGAAGAAACCGAAGATTGTCTAGGCCTCATGGCGCCGGAACTATTTATGTTCAAAAATGCAGGTCACATCAGCCGTATTCAACTGCAATCTCATCAGCTTAAACTCTTGAGGCAGATAAGCCCTCGTAGTGAGCCGATGCTAGGTCGACAGCCAATTTTGGCGTCAGGTCAAGAATGCTGTATATAACAGGATGCTCCATGAGTCCCTTTGCAGCCTTGCGCATACGTCGCACCAAGTCACACACTGAACGTCACCATGGAGATCTGGGCGTTTGCCAATCTGTACACTACTCCCCCTACAGTCGGTACCGTTCAGTCGCCCTCAAGCACGGTGACCGAGCTTCCTCAAATATGCACTTGTGCCATGGAAGGGGACGTGTCAACCTCGACTGCAACCCATACGACTGCAACTCATACTACGGCACTTCCCAACAGGCTGGAATCCTCCCATAGATTGTGGAACACTACTATGGACCATAATACATCGAGCATCAGCACCGCGATCAGTCTCGTTACAGCGACGTCTGGTGGTGATGTTCAACCGTCATGGACCTACCATCGGCCGACGGTGCACACGACCGCGGCGACCCCCATCAGCGCAGCCGGTTCACATGGCGCCGGCTGTGACCACCTTGTAGCCTTTTACGTCTTTTTTCTCGGTGTATACGTATGGGACCGGCTTTGTTAGACCCACTTGCTGCTTTCTAGCAACCACGATTACCAGACACTCACGCAGGAGGGGGAAGTGATGGATGGGATGTAGGGTGGGCGCGTGGGGTTCTGTATCCATCGTGCGATATCAGGTGGAGTGAAGGTTGTACGTTTTCTTTTACTTTTTAATCTGGATTGCCACCCAGATCGACTTCTCTACTGCTCAGAAGGATGTTGCCGGCGACACCACGAATGTCTTGATTAGGTGTCTTCGTTCCCCTTTTCCCGAACCTGGAAACGCCATCCTTTCCTCTCTAAAACTTCCTCACATCCGAGGGACCTGTGCTCGAGGGCAAGCCCGAGGGGGATACAGGGCCTCGAAGCGCACCGAGCCAAAGAGACAATCACTTATAGGATGGCGCGCAGAGAAGTCAGACATCAAGCAGTATTTAGAAGTCTCTTGCTTATTTATCTACACGTAAGTGAAAAAAGTGATAACATCCTCTTCATTGTGTCCCAGCAGAACCTGTTGCCCACACTCCAAACCCAAGCTTCTTCTCTGTTGCGGCTAGAACCACCACCGTATGGTCCAAGCCTATCGCTTACGATGCCGTAACTGCTCTCGTGTATACAGAAATGAGCTTGCACTGTGACGCGCGCTGTTAGACAGTGTAAAGATAAGACTCTCATTCAAACGTACCTCGTCGTTTTCTACCTCGGCTTTGGACGGGGAGGTGGTTTCGGAACGCCTGTGGTATCGTACGCTCCGCGGCCTCGATCTGCGTTCGTCTCGGAAGTGCCGGCGATAGCCATTTCTTTATTGCCGCGATGCTTCGTTTTGATGTGCAAGTGTTGACGATTGTACCTCAAGAACTTGTGTCGACAGTTTCGTGGTCTTTATATGTGTTCGCCTCGACCACTTACCCCTATCTGATGCCAATGTTGAAATATTCAATGACCCCCTTGCGAACTCGGTTGACCCGTTATGACACGATTCAATAACGCTGATATCCGCTAATCCATGCGTGATCCTGGTCAACCTATTGTTAAATTACCATTGCCCCTGAGGGTTATCGTTCGGCTAGTCTCTTTGAAGCACCAAGTCGTTCTAAGACGGGCAACCTTGCTCTGCGCTTGGGTTCGTGATCATGATGGACACGTCTATTACGACGCAGATATGTTGTGATCGGGTGGGTATGGGAGACACAGAGTGTGAAAGCCAGCCCGCAAAGCTGATGCTTGGGATTGTGAGGAGAGAAAGGCAGGTTAACTGTATCGACTACTTCCTGTGTACACCTTGTACAACAACGAGCTCATGCAATGAGGTGCCACTGAATGAAATCGGTTCAAGCCGAGCGATTTTATAGACCGCTTTTATCTCAAGTATCGTGAACTTGATTGTCTTTTCATGTTGTTCCCAACTATCTCGCGGAATGAGCGAAGCAACCCAGTCTGCTAGCGCTGATATCGTGACAACCTCATTCATCTAATGCACTAATCTGAGCTCTTGCGGACTCTTGTCTCGGAGGTGATATGGCGAGCGTTGACTGCGTCGAGATACCCTCCTTCCTTTGGCCGGCTGATGTGTAGCTCGATCTCACATCCTGAGAGTTTGACGGGCTGTCTTTCGCCCTGACCTGAGAGCCTTCTTCATCCGATTTAGCAGCATTGAGCCGTGCAGTACAAGGCCGCAGTGATCATGCTTCGTGTCAATGTATTGTCCTAATGAGGTAATATGATCACTTGATGTTGCGATGGCTACTGGTACTTGAGGTTCGATCAATGATGGAACCGAATGCGATCTAATCTCAAATCATTTGTATGGACTCTTTCGAAGTCCAACCTATACACGTCGTTGGTGTCTTTTGATGACATGAAAAGGTCTATTTACAGGACTGTTCTCTGGTCGGAGCATTCTGCATTCTCGTTTTGTCGCAAACTCGGTAGCCTTTTGTTGTTCTGAGTGATGTGGCTAGCAAATCTTAGGGAACGGTACTTGCTGCACTTGCCTCGAGCTGACCCCGCCCTTCCTCTCCGAATCAAGCAGTTGCTTCTGGGTTGTCTTAGTCGCAGGATTGATCATACCAAGAGCTGTTGGCCGATTTTCGGTCCCGTAAAGTCAGTCACTTGGCAGAATGTTTTTCTTCTTCTTTCTTGCCGTCTTACTGTCTGCGAGGTTCGCCAGTGAATGGAACGTGCTAGCTTCTAGAGTTATAGGGCCAGATAACCATCTCGTATGTATGTATGCTAGTTGTGAAGGTGAAGTGTGCATGCCAGGAGCAAATCAGTAATGAGACGCTGTGCAGAGATTCCACATTATGCCACGTCGCTTCTAGGCCACTATGCAAACATCCTCAAGCATCCAAAATCAATCGACCGTCAAGTTTGAACACCCGAAAGCCAATTTTGGCTCCATGCGTGGGACGAATCCAGGTACAGCTATTTTACCATCCCCACTAAACGCCCTGGACATCATCAAACATGGCAATTTTGAGGTTTGCGTGTGGCCGCTTATGACTCTGCCGGAGAAGATCGGCACAAAGATCAGAAACAAACTGCGATGACGGTTTCTTTGTCGACCATGACCGAATTCCAGGGTCGGATGCGGCTGCATAGTGCTGTTGCGGGCTTACTAGCGTTCGGTCTTTTCGATGTAGTATGATCTGGCCACCGCGCCGTATCACGCGGAGCCGAAGCGTTAGACCGTTATCTTCATCGGTCCAAGCACCTCTAAAACTTCCAGAATATCTCTCTACACGGCAGCAGGTTTTAGATCTTGCAGTTGCTAACGTGGTTTTCAAGAACCTGTTGTGTCTCTTAGATGTTTTCTCGACTGAAGTCCACATATGAGCCGGCTAATTAGAGTCGAATAATCAAAAATGACCAGTCGCTTCACAGGGGCCAGCAAGAATCATTGCTATGTAGCTGCTCGAATTGTACGCGAAAGAGTAGACGTTGGTCGAAGATCAACAAAGAGCTGCGGTCTACGAACCACAAGATATCAAATTGGCTCACTTCGAAGCTCAACACAAAGTCTGTAATGGCCTCTATTCCATATCGTCGTACTTGAGGGCAATAGAATCCCATCCCGATAGCTATTCTCGGGCAATAGACGGCATCGGATCACATTCGGATTGTAGATCACTCAACTCGTAATACCATGGCCCCCGTGTCGTCGGACAAGATCGTCTTCACACATGACAAAAAGGCCAAAGAGAAGGTCCGGAAATGCGGGGCAAGCGCGAAACGAAAGGCCGTGCAGCTGGGCGAGGGAGCCCACGTGTTCTCGGCCGTCGTCCATTTCAATCCGACCTACGGTCAATTAGATGGAGCTGTCCACGTCCCGGACGGCCAAAGCATTCCCGACGTGAATCGTTTTGTAGGTCTTGGCACAGAAGCCTTCTGCCGTTTGCATGAACGGCTTGAACTGACGTGCATCCGAACCAGCTGGCGGAACTCTTCAAGGGGATGCACGGCATCGGACGCCGACGGCGGGTCACACGCCGTCGACGGAAGAGATCAACGTCCGAACCTGGTCAAAGTTCGGCGGAGATCGGCGACACAATCGAAGTGGGGGTGGTCGGAAGCAGCGTGCGGGGAACGCCCGATAGCGTGGGAGACGAAGACACGACGGCGGAGGAAGTCACAAGTGGGGAAGCGGATGCCCCACACGAAGTCGAAGCCGATGATGGCGGCGCCGCTCTTTTTGGCAGCACCGTGTCGGGCGTCCAGCAAGACGAGGCTGATGTGGACGAACCCCCCGACAACCCAGTAGAACACGAACAACGGACGGATTTAGCACCACTCAACCAAGATGGCGAGGGCATGATGGGGGATTTTTCCATGAGCGACGCTGACACTGCGAGTGCGATCGGCGCGGCTGAGGAAGGTTCCCTTCTCGGCCTGCCTGAGATCGACTTGGGCGACATCTTCGAGATGGAAGCTTGTGCGTCTACGTTTGTGTCAGCTGGTGATAGTGAGCTGGGTACACCGGAAGGACAGACTGGCGATACCAATCCTGGTCAGGAAAGGTCGGAGGTGGAGACATCGGGCGAAACGCTGAAGGAGGGTACGGCGGCAGCCGAAAGGGTAGTCTTAAGTCGTCAGCCGAAAGTTCCACAGACGCGCACAATTGCTGCCGCACGTGCCTATCGACCTGACAGGAGTTCTTTCAAGATCCACCGGTTCTTTTGTCGGGTTTCTCAGCGGATCCGGCTTGCACGATGTGCAGGGGAACTGGACACGGGGCGTGTCTTATAGACAGGGCGAGGTGTGCGTCATGCAGAGATCAAAGTGTGGGGCCGCTATGTACGTAGTGTGGCTTATGCGAATCTGAGTTCACTGAGACTCAGCCGCCTAATGGAAGCAAATCCGTACAACTACAGACCAGGGTTACAATGATCGTGTTTACGAACACAAGACTGAGCAAGTAAAGTTGGGATAAAGGTACTTGGTAGTCTTAGTTGGGAAACTCTCAAGCAAGCAACGTCGATTGCTTCATGTTTCTGTTGCTTGCTCCTACATTCAAGGTACCTGGGATGTTTCCTCGCACATATCAATCACCATGGGCGTTAATCCCGGTAGAGTGCCCGATTTTCGACCTTCGAGATGACGGTCTCCATGTCCCGGAACATCAACGTGCCGACGGCAGGCCAGTATTCTCGCAGACAGATTATATCGCATGGCCAGTATTACTCTGCCAACGCCATCCTTTCTCGATGCCTCGGTAATCCAAGGGATGTCGCACACGCCGATGATGGGCGCCAGATGATTCAACGCCGTCATGGCCAGCATAACTGCCTCCTTTCGGCGCTGGTCACTGTAGATGTTCAACATGTCATTGTCCACCATGCCCTTCGTAAACGTGAAAGAACTAGGACCAAGGCCCTCCGGATCTTTTCTTGCGTTGCTTTTGAGATACCGAACCGTGTCGCATCCAGCTCTCCGTACGGATTCCCGGGAAGGAAGATCGTAGACCTGGCTGTGTGCGCGTGTCGATCAGACCCGGCTTCCTCGAGGATACCCGTGGCAACGAACACACGGTCGATCCTTTCTGAAGAGGTCAACAAGGAATGAATTATTGGGTTAGACGGCGTTACCTACTCAAAAAGGGAACTTCGACCTCCACGCGATCGCCCAGCTCCATAAAAGATAAAGGTTGTTCTATTGAGATGTATCGAGAGACGTACTACTCTTCGTTGAGCTTGATGATGGCCATCTCATTGCCCTGAATACTGTCTGAAAACCACCCTTCTCGGGTCTGTGCAACGAGAATGCTGATGTCTCCCGTCAGTTGAAAATATTAAACTGGAGAGAAGTTTCTTCTGCTACGTCCACTTGCCGCGGACCGTATACTCCGCAATTACCCCGACCAGTTCCGTCCTCAGCTGTCGAAGTTTGTGGCAATCCTCGACTGATCTAAGGGGTGCCCACTCTTGCGTGCCAGAGGTGTGTCGGACAGCAAGGAATGCAGCGATCAAGGTTATAGATTCAGGGGCTTGATAGGATGATCGACCTCAACGTACGCTGGAGTGCATGTTTGCTCATCATGAGGCAAAAAAAGATTGACGAGGACGGTTCAGCTACACAAGAAGGCTTTCCTAAATGTTACAGTACGAATATTATGAATTGTAGATCAATGAAACGCGGTACCGGTCCGGAATTCTTCATATCGAGCCGAAGCCTGCTACACACGTATCCGTCTAGAATAATTGAAGCCCGCTCGCCACCAGTTGCCGGCTGCATTACGCTGTAACAAGTTCGTCACCCTGGTGATCATCTTCTTGCTTGCTGGATCCTGTTCCTCAACCCTCGCAAGCCAACCGAGTCTTGCCCCCGTGGAGCTTATTCTACGGGCTTTCTTTCCATTCTGGCTGTCACCCGGTTCCTCCGATTCTCGCCAACAAAAATATTTTTTCTCTTTCTTCCTTTTTCTTTTCTTTTTTTTTTCTAAAAAAAAAAAAAAGACAAACGTCCGTGGGCCGTAACATGCAACATGTTGCCATGCTATTCCCTCAAGGTAGTCAAACGTTGTTTAAGACTTTTGCCAAAATTGGCTCCTCGCGACTAGTATAACAGTTGTTTGGTTGAATGATTCACGATGCACAAACACGATCTCGCTCCGAAAAGGGCACCTACACAGTGTGTAGCTTTTCCAGTATGTATGTCGTGTTACCTACGATGCAGCATCAAATGAACCTCCAGACTAGCCATTCCACCCTACACTACTGTACGACCGAAGATGATAGCATCTTACGCCCCCAAACCTTCTTAAACCAAAACCACGGATGCGTTAGGCCTGACCTCATCTCCGCTTTCAAGGCGGCAAGGTAAGTTTCGATGTGTCCCACATTCCACCCAGCTGACGTACACGGTCGCAGAAGAAACCCCAAGGCGTCTTTTTCTATTGCTGATTGCGCACAGCGTCCAAGCGATCTGTATTTTTCATCTCTTGGCCAACTCCCGATCGGTATCTGAGATCAAATGTTAAATCTCTCTCCAAGCATTGATGGCAGTGATGCAATTGGTACCTGAAAGTCAAGCTCTCGAATGTCACTGAAGTGTGCCTCTTTCAGAGCCTGTCTTTGTATGCCCTCTTGCACTACAGAGAACGTCTGTCCAATCTGGGCCCCGTATTCTTTGAAGACTCCGTGCCACTGATTCCAGGCACTTCTCTGGTTCACCGTGCCGTCGTCGCTCTCGATGAGAAACGATGGCTCTGAACTCTCGAGAATACCGCCTTCCTTCAAGCAACGATAGGCTTCCCCCACTAGGAATTTCCAATCACGAACGGATCCAGTCAGAAACCGCATGTTGATATAGTCGAGCGAATTGTCTTTGAATGTCCACGGTTCGTTGAAGTCATCAATATGGCTGGAAGCAGAGTCAGCATTGCTATGCAAGAAGAAGCCCTCACAAATTCCAATTGCCAATGACAAAGAGCAGGCTGGACTGACAACTCTACGTTCGGTGGAACATGTTGAGGCTGAATCGGAGATAGGTCGATTCCAACCACGAGGGCGTGTGGATGAGTTTCGCCAAATTCGCTGAGGCACGAACGTCAGCATTACTTCCCCAACACTTTTGATATATACGGCCATACATAGCCCACGCGCCTGTCCCAGTCCCAACATCTAAGATTTTCTGTGAAGTAATGAGCACACTTGCCGAGCGGCTTGATCCGGAGCAACGATACCTGAGCGTTGTCTGGAAGCTCGGCGAGGAAGAGCTTTCCATAAGAAGCCTCGTAAAACAGGGAGTGGCTGACGAAGATAAGTTAGCCATTATGCTCCTCTGAGTTACACATTTTGATCGTTCTGACCAAAGACCCATCGCCTCACTCTGCAGTTCGTCATTGGGGGCCCTGAACAAAATCGTAAGTTTTCAGTCACTTGGGTCGCCCGACTGCGCGTACCAGTAAATGGAACGAAAGATTCTACTGTGATAAGCTCTGTCATCTAGATATTGGTAGTTTAGAACGTCGTCAGTCATCGACTTAGTCGAGCACTGGTCGTCATCAAGGCCCGGATCGGATTCGTCGTCTTGCCGGTCTGTCTGGATGGGCTTGCCGTTAGTGTTGTCATTGAAATGGCTGTAAAGAGACATTTCACCTCGGGTGGAATTGCAAAATCCATTTCTTGTGTAGCGGAGGTCGAAGACAAGAGACCTGGTTGCCATCCATCTGGCCCATCCACGACCAACGGCGATGAGAAACTCGACTCCGAGGATGTTTCTGTCATCTTCTAAGAACTCCAGATATGGGAGGGATGCTGAGAGACAGCATCAGATCATGTTTGTTCGGGGATTCACTCTGCTTATATGCTCAGGATCTGGTGGGGCTGGAGTTGCTTGAATGGCTGGCCTGGCAAGATCAAGGAGGGTCGAGTCTTAGTATCACCACAATGCCAACAACTACGGGTACGCGTGAAGCTCGCTAAGAAAGAAAATTAAAGGGGGATCAGCGCTGTCAGATCAAGAGTCGCTTCGGAAATTGGAAAACCTGCAAGGATGCTACATAAATTCGGGACCAATCTAGGCTGCCGCTTATGAGATGCTAAGTATCCAGGGTACATGTAAGGGTAAGGAAAGTAATGATGAATGGGCGGAAGTGGCGTGAGCCTAGCTTGATCTGTTGCATACCTGGACCGACCGAGTAAGCGGCCGCAGGAGCTTTAATGTGAGATGAAAGATTCGTGACATACCGCGGATCTGGAGGGAAAGGTTGCAACGGGAATAGGCGTGACTGCATAATTGTATCTTCGTCGCCGCATGAGGACTGACGAAGGAAATGAGGTGCCTTGCAAGAGTGTGCCGGCTACGGCAGATCCTTCAAAGAGCCCGGTATGAGTAGAAGAGCCATGTCTCCCATGTTGGGTGTCTATCAAGCCTTTCCCACAAGTCGAACTTGGGATCGCAGGTTGTTCAGAACGCGGTCCCTTACTCATTCAACTACCCAAAGACGGCGCTACGTCAAGCTACGACGCAGTCTGGTAGAAACGTTCGCTGTCTACGTTGTTGAACCCACAATCGATTTCATGACGACTGCTTCGCTGGCAGTTTCGTCTTCGCCTTCAGCAACGCGACGTGCACTGTGCACTTGTAGCGTGGTCGACATCATGCTTCGCAGTGACCATAAGCTCAATGAAACTCAAATACCACGCATCAAATGATGTGTGTATTTTGGGCTTCCATTCCGGCAAGTCCAAGCCTTTAGAGGAGCGTCTGCGTGACCTGGACAGATCAAGGCAATGCCGAGTCTGTGGAGAAATGTCGTAACAGCAGCCATGTGCTAATGATTTGCGAGGAGGCCGAAGACAATCATTACAATGTACACGGCGTGAAAGCGAATGAAAATTTGCTTGGCGTGCTGTTGAAGGTCCTCGAGACTGGTAGGAAGGTTAAGACAGGCCGAGTCAATCAAATCAAATACGGGACTAGTTGCTGAATTATCAAGTGCGTGACCGATGTTAGGTCAGTACATGTTTTTCAACGCAGAGAGAGCGCCCTGAAGGGCTTCAGCAGACATGATTTCAGACTTGCAGATTTGGGGCGGAAAAGGAGAAAGTTGGAGAAACCATACGAGGAGGTCCACAATCTTGATTTTTGTCCAGCTGCGGCTTGAAGCATATCGATCCCTTTCAGCCTTACAGCAACTAATGTCTCTGTCACTTAAGCTTGTATTGGCTAGCTGTGGCAAGCTGCAATGG